CAGGGGACTTCTTTGGGGACTTGGTATGAGTTTGGATATTACTCTATGGGTAATGACAGACTTCCCAGGATTTTTACTGGAGGACTGATACAATCTGATCTGTTTTAAAACAATGGCTCTAGGATTCCACTTTAAGTTTTGATGGAGAAAATTGAGAGACCAACCATCCTGCTAAGAACAATATATAAAAACTCGAGAATGGGGAGGGAGGCAAGTTCATGAAGATATCAGAGGGATCACAGGAATGAGAATTTGAGGAACCAAAAAATACAGAAAGAAGGGAAACAATGAGGTGAGCTAAAGAGATAATATGGTCCTGACCAAAGACTGGAAAAATTAGAACAGAATAAAGAATCAAGAAACAGAGCCACAGGAAAATTGTCATTTGTACATTAATTTAGCTGCCACTGCGTTACAATGGATCAACAGGGGAGTCTTTTTAATAAATGGTGGTTGGTTTACTGAATATCTACATAATGAAAAAACTAACCTTGATCACTCCACCAAATTCATTCCCAAGTAGTTACACTTCCTAAATGTAAATTGTTAATAATAATGCTTTTAAGTGAAAAATTAGAGGAATATTTATAGCATCAGAGTAGGTAAATATTTCTTCAATAAGACATAAAAGAGACTCATGATTTAGGAAAAGTAACAAATTGAACTTAATTAAAATTAGGACATTCTGGAGACCAAAACATATTAAAAGAATAAAGTTGAAAACTGAGAAAGAAAAAAAAAGAATGGAATTCCAGAGTACACAGATCTGCCCCCACATGGCGCACCATAAACATGTTCTACAGTTGCTGTCCCACATGTTTGCAATCTCATTTTTAGTGCATTTCAAAGTAGGTTCAAGTGTCTGTGTAATTCAACCTTATATACTTGAGTAGGCATATTATTGACTAATGTTTGATATTTTTGTAGTTGTTTTGGGGTAAGATGTGTGTGAAGTGAAATTCACCAAACTTAAATGGACTTTTTAACAAGTTTTGACAAGAAAAGCACCTGTGCGATGCAAACTCCACCAAGACTTGGAGTCATCGACCCAGAAGATGTACTTATCCCCTCTCCCTGAAAAATGTCACTGCCTACCCTGCCCACAAGAACCACTCTTCTGGGTTTTTTTCCCCCAACCTAGATTAGAATAGAATATAAATGGCATCACTTTCATGCATGGTTTTTCACTCAGCAGTATGGTTTTGAAATCCTGTCAGTCATTTCCTCCTTATTGTGGAATAGTTACTGTACCACATTTGTTGAATCCATTCTCCTATAGATGGACACTTGGGCTATTTACAATTTGGAAATATTATGGCTGAAATTGCTCTGAACATTCTTGTATAACTTTTGGTGTATATTTATAAATATCTAAGGATGGCATTGATGGCTCAGAGGGTTAGTATATATTTAGTTTTTTTTAAAACCACCAGACTTGTTTCCAAAGTGGTGGTAACCTTTTACATTCTAATCAATAAAACATGAGCATTCTGGTTGTTCTTATCAATACTGTCAGTCTTTTTAAAAATTTAACCATTCTGGTGGGAGTATCATGGTATCACATTATGGTTTTAATTTGTATTTCCTTGATGACTAACAATATTGAGCCCTTTGAATATCTTCCACCATTCATATCTTTGCCCATTTTTAATTGGCTTGTTTTTATTATTATTGAGTTTTAGGAGTTTTTATACGGTAGATACCATTCCTTTTCAGACATACATTTTATAGGTATTTTATTCCAGTCTTTAATTCACCTATTCATCTTTAAGTGGTACCTTTAGATCAGCTGATGTTTTAATTTTGATGAAGAATAATTCAGCAATTTTCCTTTCACGGTGGTGGTTTTTCTTCACTATAGTAAAATAACTGACACAGGCAGTTGATTAAAAAAAAGGGTTTTCTCACAGTTTTAGAGGTGTAAGTCCCTGCATCAGGTCAGGTATGTTAAGGACTCCTGGTGAATGGCAGATGATGGAGTGCATACAGAATCAGACAAGCAATCACATCTTGGACTATGAGAACTACCAGGGGTCACATAGGAATGACCCTCTTCACACCCTCAACGACCTGAGAAGCTCCCAAGCATCCCAAACCTTTAAAGCCTCCACCACCTTGCAATGGTGACATCCTGGGGAACAAACCTTTAATCGTAGAGGACCCCTGGGGGATACTCAAACCACACCCAAACCAAAGCACCTATCCAAGAAACTGTTTCCTCTCAAATCATGTTCTCCTATGTGCTTTTCTAGGAGCTTTGTGACTTTAGCCATTAGATGTAGCCACTATCCATCTCAAACTAATTTTTATGTATGGTGAAAACAGGGGACAGGGATCTTTTTGTTCAAAGAGGATGATCAGTTATACCAGCACCATCTGTTGAAAAGATGTTGCTCTTCCCACTGTACTTCTTTGGTACCCCAGTTGAAAATCAGTTGTATGTTCAAGGATGGGTCTATTTCTTAACTCTCTTTTCTATCCATGAAGCTGTTAGTTTATACTAGTACCACACTGTCTTGATTACCATAGCTTTACAGTAAGCCTTGAATCCAGATACTGTAAATTCTCCAATCTTTCTTCTTTCTCAAGACTGTTTGAATATTCTGGGTTATTCAAATTTACATATGAATTTGAGAATCAGATTGTCAATTTTTGCACCAAAAAAAAAGCCTAATGGAATTAATGTTAGGTATAAATTAAGGCTATAGATGAAATCATGGAGAATTGACATCTTAACATTCTTCTAATCCACAAACATTAGAAGTCTTCCCGTTTATAAAGTTCTTGCTTAATTCTTCTCAGCAATACTTTACAGTGTATAGATATTTCCTGACTTTTGCTAAATTTATTTCTAAGCTTGTCATTTTTCTGGTGCATTAAGCAGTTTTCCATCACTATGATAAAATACCCAAGACAAAAAAAACTCATAAAGAGAAAAGCATTATTTTGTTTCAAAGTTTTGGAGTTGTCAGTCCATAATTGAATGGCCTATTGTTTGGGGCCTGTAGCAAGGCAGCATATCATGGAGGGAGCACATGGTGAAGCAAAACCTTACCTTATAGCCAAAAAGCAAAGAGAGAGCAAGGAAGAGATGTTTCCCCAAATCCCCTAAAAGAGCATGTTTCTGATTACCTAAGAACTCCCACTAGTCCCCCACCTGCTAAAGGCTCCACCACTCCACATAACACCAGTGTCTGAACCAAGCCTTTATCAAAGGGCTTTGGGAGACATTTAAAATCCTAGTTTAGCATATTCTTCTCTAAATAAATTAAATTTTTTTCTAATTTTCCAAATGCTAGCTGCTACTATGTGATTTACTTTTGTGATGCATGTGTTTGGAAGTCAACTCAGTATTTACATTAGAAAGAAAAAGACAAGATAAAGCCTGTTTTATTCATCTCTTCAATGAGATAGCAGAACGATGGAACTGATTACCCCCAGCTCAGTTTGTCTCTTCCTGGCTTTGCAAACTTGGCCAAAAATTAATAGAATAGAATTCTCTTCCTATTTCTGCTCCCACTCAACACAATCAGAATTTGAGTCCTCATTCTGTAGAGTTTTTCCTGCAACATCTATAGAGAGAAAGCTCTAACTCTGGTTCACTGACCTGGTTCACTGACCTGTTGAGAAATCTGGTAAAAGCCTTGAATTTTTTCATGAGAGAAAACTGCACACACACACACACACACACACACAGAGAGAGAGAGAGAGAGAGAGAGAGAGAGAATTTTGTGTACATTGTAAGATATCTGGGGAACTTCTGAAGTTTAATTGTCATCCTTTGTGGTCCCATAGACACCTAATTATGAACCTCTATTCTAGAGTGGGACATTGATCAGGGGAGGGGCTGTACTTCTCTGTCTCAGTACCCAGCAGTGTTTTAACAGTGTCCAGCTGCTCAGTTAGTGTCCACATTCACCAAATGTCCCTGCGGCACTGAAGCTTTCTTAGAGACTGGTCTCTCCTCCCAAGCAGCAGTAGGTGCTCAGTTGGCTTGGAGCAGCCCAGTACCTTCCTCCCTTGGGGTCCACTGTTAGAAAACAGGAATGCTTTACTGAAGAGCCACAGTTCAGTTCAGAGTGACAGAACCAGGGGGCATCTTAGGGACATCGTGGGCCAGTCATACCCTTGGTCTGATCACATTTGGAGGCTCTGAGTTTCAGGGAATTGCCCAAGATCATGGCGTGCCCTATTTGTTCAGGGGCAGGAGTGAAGTGAGTGCTGCAGATCCTAAGTCCTGTGCCTCTGTGGGGTTTTCTAGACAGGGAGGAGGGGCTTGGGAAAGCCTATAGATTTCCACACCCTCAGAATGACACAGCAGTGGGGCAGTTTGTCTGGGCCACCTGCTCTCCCCGCAAAGCCCCTGCTCCTCCCCTGCTGTCTGTGAAGTCAGCCAGCAGCCCCACACCAGGCAGCTTCCCCTGGGCTCTGGAGTGGCTCCAGGTGGCAGACTCACGGCAGAATCCCCAGAGCTGTGCTCAACTGCCTGGTGAGCAGACAGCCTGGCTTCGGCACCAGCCCCAGAAAGTCTCTTCCTGAAGGGCAGCAGGTCCCTAGTGTGACGAAGTTTGGTGACGACAGCACTTCAGGGCAATCCTTTCTCTTCCTGCAGCCCCCAGAATTATGTCACGGACAGCACATCCCTCTGCTGTCATCTCCAGTCACTCTTGAGCATACTGGCAGTGACAGTGACACAGTGTGTGTGCTTCCTCCCATGCAGGTGCCGGGGATATGGGCAGCAAGCTGTCTGCAACAGGCGGGGACTCCACAGCACGGTCCCCCAGGACAGAAGACATTCACACCGCATACAAGAAGGGAGACCTCAGCAGGGCCCACCACCTGCTCAAGGAGGCTTATGAGGAGAGCACATCCCAGCTGGAAAAGGTAGGAGGGATTTGTACCCCCAGGGCCACCACTGCAGTCCTGGGTTGGATGAGGGTTACTGCTAAGATTCATTTCTCATTGACATCTGTGTGTGTGTGTCTGTGTGTGTGTGTGTGGGGGGGTGCTGGGGATTGAACCTAGGGCTTTGGGCATGCTAGGCCAGCGCTCTACCAACTGAGCTACATCCCCAGCCCATAATTGGCATGATCGTAATGGGGATTTTTTTTTTATTATGTCCTGAAAATACCTCATTTTGCTTGTGGGTACCATTCCTTCTAAGTCAACTTCTTCAGGGACTGTCATCACAGAAGCAGACCCCTTGCCACCTTTCTTTTTTGGTTGTAAATGATTTTTTTATTTATAAAAGACAGTGGAATGCATTACAATTCATATTACATATATAGAGCACTTTTTTTCATACCTCAGGTTGTATACAAACTGTATTCATACCAATTCATGGCTTCATACATGCACTTTGGATAATGATGTTCTTTCAATATCAGAGACACGGGTGGGGTAACTTACATGTAAAGAATAAAATACCATCTGTGAATTTAACCAACTGTATTCTTTTACACTTTTTTTCCATTATAAAAATAGCACAAGCTTAAAAAAGAAAATTTAGAAAAGCTGTAAAAGTAAGGGGAAAAGAATAAAAATGTAACCATGCTTCTAGTACAAACAATCCCACTTAACAGTTTTTGTGTATTTTTCTTCCAGCTTGCTGATCTGAGCATATGTTGGTATTTCTAATATAGCTATATTATAAATATGGTTTTGCATGTACTTCTTATTCTTAGATAATATGTCAAAATTTTTCTGCGTGACTATAAATTCCTTATGTCACCTTTGATGGCTGTGTGATATTCCATCTGGTAGAGAGACCATAATTTACCCAGCTGCTTCTCTTGTTTAGATATTTGGATTATTTCTAATTTTTTACTACTACAAAACAATACTGTGTTGAATGTTTTTGCATAATTCTTTTCTTATTGTAAAGTTATTTTCTTAGCATAGATTTGTAGGAATTGAGAATGTATTGTTGTGGGGCAGGTCGCTCAGAAAACACACCAAGTCCCAGTTTTGTCCAAATTGAAGAGTCTTTATTTAGCCGGCCGGACTGTGACTGCCCCTTGCAGGACCGGTAACTATCTCTGCTAGGAACAGCCCTGAGCCTGAGCATTTTAGGATATTTAAAGACAAAAAGCCACATCCAGGTTGACATTGCTGCAAGCAAACAGGTACAGAAGCTGAATTGGACAGGTAATGAGACTATGCAATGGGTACATTGGTATTTCCCACAGGACTTTCCAGATTGGCATAAGTAGAAGGGAAATGGGTCAAAATAACCCTAGTTCAGTACAAGTTAGAGAATGGTTACTAAGAGCTAAACAATCAATCTCTGACAAGGTACATTGACCAAGAAAAATGGAAACCAAAGAGAACAATTTTACATTGTATAAGAATTGCTGTTTTGTGTTACCAAGTATGCTATGCTAGGTAACTATTAATGGGTACAGAGGCAGGGCTTTCCATGGGAGAAGCATTTCTTACATGATTTAGAGTCTCAGGGTACAACATGCTTGAGAATTAAGGGGAGGGCATTTGCAATCCCTCTGACTGTGAATTCACAGTGTGTTTGGGAAGGGCCCCCATTCTGTATGGGCCCATGGCCTAACTGTTCCATCCACAGGAGGAGATGGCTACATAAACATGTCTGTGCCCCGGCCATAGAAAACCATGTGGCACTCCAACAAAACAAAATAAGAATGTTGAGGTTTTCTTTTTACCTTACACTTACAGAAGCTGGTAACCCAGAAACACAAACTCATACAGGCAATGCCCAAGGAAAACCTACTGTCTTGAGCCAAAAAAATAGGCAAGGGGCAAGCAGAAAATTTATAGGCAATAGCCAACTTACATACCACAGGAATACTTGCAACCCCAGCCCTACCTCTCATCTGCCAAGGCCAGGTGGACAGCCTAGACTTTCACCTTTGCCAGTGTGTAACAATCTTTCCCAATCTTCCTTACCTCCAGGGTGTCTGGGAAGGAGCTAGGATATTGATCCCTTCCAGGTGGTAACAAATCTCCCCTATCAGTGGAGACCATGTGGGAAACCTGGATTTCCATCTTCTCCTGACTTATCTGGCAGTAAGGAGACACTCCTCCTCCTCCAAGCCAGCAAGGAATTATAGCAAGCCTAATGATGAACCCAAAGTCCAACCTGTGCCCGGCAATAACTAGGAGTCCCTCCCCCTGGGTGTTAACCAATTCTAGTATAGTAATGAGGTGGCACCCTTGTTGACATACCAGAGCAGTTAGTAGAGTCTATATTCAAGTCTTAAATAAGATTCAGAGTCTTAAAATATATCTCCCAAATTCTCTGGTTCTAATAAAAAAAAAAAAGACAGAAAAAGTCATATGAGGAACCATAACAATTTCAAACTCAATGAAAAAAGACACAAACATACCCTAACAGCAAGATGACTCAGAAGTTAGAAATATCTGACAAGGATTCTAAAGCAGACATCATAAAAAATGCTTCCAAATTATGAGCACACATAAATGAAAAAATAGAAAATCGCAGAAAAGGGACGTTTTGGCAAAAAAAAAAAAAAATGAAGATACCAGTAGAACGAAATGGAAATTTTAGAACTTAAAAATATTATGGCTGAAGTTTAAAAAAAAAATGGATGGTCTCAATTCTAGAACAGAGAAGATAAAGGAAAGAAATAGTAAACTTTGAAGGTAGAACAATGGAAATTACCCAAATAGAAAAAAAAAACAGAAAGGGAAAGAGAAAAATAGGCTGTAAATAAATGAGTAGACCCAATAGCTAATATTCATGTCATCAAAGTCCAAGAAGGAGAGTATAAAGAAGGCAGGACTGAAAGAGTACTGAAAACTTCCGAAAAATGGCCAAAAGAAGGTAAATTTTATTTATTTTTTATTTTTTGGTAAATTTTAAAAACAGATATAAGAGGCTGAATGAATCCCAAACAGAACAAATCTAATGAAATCCATTCCTAAGATATCATAGTCAAATTTAAGAAAACAAAGCAAGCAAAAATCGAGAAGCAGCCAGAGAGATATATTGACCGCAGGAAAAAAACATTTCAGATGACAGTGAATTCTTGATCAGAGACCAAAAGACAAGAAGAAAGTGGCACATTTTTCAAGTGCTGAAAGGAAAAAAAAAAAAAAAGGTCAACTCAGAATGGCATATGTCAGAGAACATAGCCTTCAGGAATGAAGGGAAAATACGGACATTCTGGAATAATGGAAAACTAAGAGGATTAATTTCCAGACACTCTACCCTAAATGAATGTCTAAAGGAAATTTTCTAGACCCAGAGACAATGACAAAAAGAGGAAGCTTAGAATACCCAGAGAGAAAAAGGAATATGGAAACAACAAAAATATAGTTAAATGAAATAAATTTTCAATTTGAAAATTGAAGCAGAAACCATAACACTACCTAACATAGTTCTTAATATATAGAAAGAAAATGTTTAAGATGAGAATTATTTTATAAATGAAGAAGGGTCAAGTGATACAAAGAGGTAAGGTTTTTATACTCCATTCAAACTGGTAAAATGTTGAAAACAGTAGATTTTGATAAGTTATGTATCTATGATATAATGTGTATCTATGTATTGTATGTATAATGTAATATGTAATGTGTACAAATACTAAAAAACTATGCAGGGAGATAATGCTCAAAACACTATAAATTAATCTAAATGAAATTCAAAAAATTTTAAGGGACTCACAGGAAGACAGGAAATGAAAACAGAAAAATGAAGCAGAGAACAAACAGAAAACAAACAATCAAGCAAAATAACATGGTACACTTAAACCTTAACATCTAAATATTATATTAAACACAAATGGTCAAAATACATGAACTTAAAGACAGACTTTACCAGAATTGATTTAAAAAAAGCATAAGCAATTGTATACTGTCTGTAAAGAAAAAAAACCTCATTTAAAATACAATGATATATGTAGGTTGAAAGAAGATGGATGGGAAAAGATATACTATGAAAACATTAATCAAAAGAAAGTAAGAGGGGCTATAGTATAGTGATACCAGAAAAGTAGGTATCAGAGCAAGAAAAATTACCATGGACACATAGGGTTATAATGATAAAGGACTTGATCCACCAAGAAAACATAGCAGTCTTAAATGCATATGCACCAAATGACAGAGCTACCAAAATTATGAAACAAAAGCTGATATAACTGAAAGGAGAACTAAATAAGTTCACAATTGTAGTTAGGGGCTAGAAGTTTTGACATTCTCTCTGAACAATTCATAGAACAATTAAACGGGAAATCATCCAGAATACAGAACAACACTATCAACCAACAGAATCTAACTGACATTTATAAAACATTCCATTCAATAGCAGTAGATACACATTCTTTTCAAATGTCCACATATCATATATCAAGATAAACCAATAACCTTGGCTATGAAACAAACCTCAACAAATTTAAAATAATTGAAATCATATAGAATGTGTTCTTCAACTTCAGTGGAATCAAAATAGAAATCAATAACAAAAAGACAATGGGACGATCTCCAAGAACTGGAAACTAACCACATACTTTAAAAGAATCTATGGGTCAAAGAGAAAGTTTCAAAGGAAATTTAAAACAAAATAACTGAATGAAAATGAAAATACAAGAGAAAAGAGACAATCACCAATAATAAAGAAGGAAACAGGAAATATGACTACAGATCCTGGAGGCTTTGGAAGGATAATAGAGGAACACTGTGAACAACTCTATGTACATAAATTTGGCAACTTAGATAAAATGGACAAATCTTTCAAAAGTAGACACTACCACAACTTAATTAATATGAAACACATAATTTGAAGAATTCTTTAACCATTAAGAAAATTCAATTTGTAATTTTAAACCTTCTAAAAAATAAATCTATAGCTCAGAAGATTTCACTGTAGAATCCTCCATATAGTCTCTTCCAGAAAATAGGAGGGAACACATTCCAAAATTTCTATGAAGCCAATATTACCAGAATCCCCAAACTAGACAAAGACAGTATAAGTGACCCTCCCTCCAAAAAAATAAAAAGAAAAAGAGCAATCTCTAGTCTCCATCATGAATATAGATGCAAAAACTCAGCAGTAAATGAAAAGAATTATACACACCATGACC